CAGCCGGGGATGGTGGCTCACACCTGTAATCCCAGCAATTTGGGAAGCCATGGAAGTTGGCTCACTGAGGTCAGGAGTTTGAGACCAGCCTGGCCAACAAGATTAAACCGAATCTCTACTAAAAACACAAAAATTAGCCAGGTGTGGTGGCGGGTGCTTGTAATCCCAGCTACTCAGGAGGCTGAGGCAGGAGAATGGCTTGAACCCGGGAGGCAGAGGTCGTAGGGGACAGAGACCACGCCACTGCACTCCAGCCTGGGTGATGGATGGAGACGCCATCTCAAAGAGTAAATAAACAAATAAACGGCCAGAGAGGGGAGTGAAACAATGTGCAGGAAGCCTGGAGTTGAGGTAGGAGCTAAAAAACTAAGCAAAGAACACTCACCGTAAGCAAGCAGAGGTGGCAGCAGAGAAAATGTCACTCAGCCGCACGTCCCTTCACACCACCCTGATGACTGACCTACGTGGCTGTTCTGGTCACAATTACGGGGAACTACTTGGGGAGGATGAGGGAGAGAAAGAAGCGGAACGGACTCACAGAGCCGAGAGAGCACTGATGTTCAGCTCTCCTGGTGCAAAGCAATGGATTCCGCCCTAAGCTGAAAGACTGAGAGGCCAGCGCAGTTTTTCGAGATATGGGGGCAAATTCCAAGAGTCCGCTGGGTTGAAAGTGATTGTCCCTAGAGCGGAAGCTGGTTGGGGCAAAGGACTGCTGTTTTTCTTCACAAACCCTGTGGCTAGACAGGTTCACTAAAGATCAAAACAGAAAAAGAAAAAAAAAAAAAAAAAAAAAAAAAGGCTGGGTTCTTCTCGAATTGAGCTTTAGAAGGAAACAAGAGAGTGCTACATAGAGGGAGTAAAAGGTCAAGTGAGTGGAGGGGAGCGAGGCGCGCTCCAGACAGGTAAGCAGCTGAAAAGGTCCAAGTGTGGAGGGCGTGTGGGGCCAGAGGCAGGGGCCTGGCTGCCCCTCGAAGGACGTGCCTCACCTTGGCTCAGCAGCTAACAGACTTGAAGCAGAGAACAAAGTGATGTGACCTGTCTCAAGTACCATACCAAAGGGCAGGCAGAAACCCCCCGAAAAAGAATAGGTGGTCTCGGTGGACCACACAGGACAAGAAACAACCTAGGAAACTCCTGGAAAAGTGGCCATCCAATTCTACCCCGGGTGAATGGGTCCTGGAAGAGGTGGTATTCATGGTGGCAGGAGAGCCAAGCGAAGGGGCCTCCAGCTTCTAAGATGATCCAGGCAGGAGCCCTCGCAATTCTCACCCTCAATAGTTGACTCTCTGCCTTCATCCCAGCAGTGTGTGCTGAGGGTCTATAAGACACCTGGACTGCAGCAGGTGCTGGGAAGAAAACCCAGTCCTACTTGTCAGAGACTCCTCAAAAGGAAGAAGAGCCACAGTCCTTCCCACGCCCATGCTGGCCGGACATGCCCAGGTAGTCGGGGGCATGGTGGGGACGGGTGGGCCAGGCTTAGCAGAGGAGGCCTGGGGAGGAGGCCAACGCCTACTAGGCCGAGAGGCTGGGGGCAGGAGTGGGGAATGTGCCTGGGGACAGAGAAGAGGCTGGACAGGCAGGAAAGGAATGCTGCAGGGTGGGTCGGGCAGAATGGATGTGCTGAGTCCTGGATCTTGGACGGGTCGCTCTAGCAGGCCCCAGAGCCCCAGAGAGCAGCTGCGAGAATCAGGTACCAGGTGGCAGCAGGTTGCTGACGTCTGGTTTTTGACATCTGACTGTGTGGGGAGAGCTGCGGGAAATTTCTAAAAAGACATCCACGGCTGATACTGAGTGGTTAACAGTCTATCACGCATGACGCCAAGCACCCAACGCCACTAAGAGATGCATACTGCCATCAACCTCATTTTAGGTTTGAGGAAATGGAGGCTCACAAAAGCAGAAGGCTGCCCTGAGTCTTCCAGCTGACACATGTTATCAGGAGGCCAATGCTAAATCCAAGAAGCCCTCGCCCAGAGCCCACACACCACCCCCATTGCTCCCTGCTCTGACTCTGCCCGTACCCTGGGCATGTGATCTTGAAATGACTCCTATGCTGGAGGGCGAAAAATGGCTGGAGCTGTGGACGGAACTAGAACACAAGACGGCTCAATTTAAGTACTCTTAACAGTGTTCACTTTCTAAACTCACTAACTCTTGTGGCTTCATAAGCAAACATTCATTATTTAAAGAAATTGTTAAGTAATGGCCGGGCTCGGTGGCTCATGTCTGTAATCCTAGCACTTTGGGAGGCCAAGGCAGACAGATCATGAGGTCAGCATTTCCAGACCAGCCTGGCCAGCACGGTGAAACCCTGTCTCTACTAAAAATATAAAAATTAGCGAGGCATTGTGGCGCTCACCTGTAGTCCCAGCTACTTGGGAGGCTGAGGAAGGAGAATCATTTGAACCCGAGAGGCGGAGGTTGCGCCACGGCACTCCAGCCTGGGCAGCAGAGCGCGACTCCGCCTCAAAATAAATAAATAAATAAAAACAATAGTTAAGTACTAAGGAAAAAACAGGCACGATGGGGCCAGGCACAGTGGCTCTTGCCTGTAATCCCAGCACTGTGGGAGGCCGAGGCAGATCTCTTGAGCCTGGGAGTTTGAGACCAGCCTGGGTAAGATGAGACCTCCATCTCTACAAAAAAATTTTAAAATTAGCTGGTGTGGTGGCACAAGCCTGTAGTCCCAGCTACTCTGGGGGACTAAGAGAGGAGGATCTCTTGAGCCCAGGAGTTCAGAACCAGCCTGGGCAACACAATGAGACCGCATCTGTACAAAAAATGTTAAAACTGGCTGGGCATGGTGGCACACACCTGTATTCCTACCTATTCACGAGGCTGAAGCAAGAGGATCGCTTGAGCAGAGGAGGCTGAGGCTGCAAGGCGCTATGACCAAGCCACTTTATTCCAGCCTGTCCACAGAACAAGACGCTGTCTCTCAAAAAAAAACCAAAAACTAAACAAAAGGCATGTTGTATACAACCTACTCTCGAATAGTCCATCCAGTAAAAAATAGTAGCATACGCAAGCCAAAAGGAGCCTGAATAGTAACACACAAAGCAAAGATTTAACCCTGGAGAACCTAAGTTTAAAAAAAAAAAAAAAAGACCAAAGACAACCAAATTCCTTCTGGGCAAGAAGGAAAGTGGAACCATGGGGCACGCAGCACAGGAGCACAGGGAGTCTCTTCTGGAAGGCGTGTTCCACCGAGTCACACATCACAGACAGGTTGGGGAGGAAGAGCCTGACCAGGGACTACAGCTGTGCCAATCACAGAGTCCCCTGCGACCTTGGTTGAGGGGGTGGTTTCTGAAGCCTGGAGGCGGCCAAAGTGCCGTGCAGGGGTGGGGACGGACAGCCTATGACTCGGAGGGAGGGTGCTGAGCCAGCAGTGCGGAGAACGGTCTAGGGAAGTCTAGGGAGAAAGGTCTAGGGAGGCCAGACAGAGCGACAACTGAGAGAGAAGCACAGGGAGGGGACCCGGACCCGGCTCCGGTCAGCAGGGGAGGCCAGACTCAGGGCCACCGAGTAAGTGCTGGGGGCGGGGCGTGAGTTTGAAAATGAGGGCGCTGGCTGCTCCAGGAGCCCTCTCCGCCTGAGCCAGAGAGCCTCGCCTCACCTTGTGATAAACCTCCGGTGGGGAAGTGACCAGGGTGGGGCAGAAGGAGGTGACACCATGCGACAGGATCCTCCGGGCCACCAGGGCAACCCCCGAACCCACGTCCTCCGTGGCCTGGGAGAAGTCAACACCAAATCCACCTGCGGCCATAGAAAGCGGGGAATCGCACGGCGCTCAGAGCTCCTCCCCTGGGTCCCCCTGCCGCCCCGGGCCGCACCGTTGATCTGCACGTCGATGAAGCCGGGCGCCAAGATGCGGCCCCCGCAGTCCCGCCGCTCGTCGGCCACGCGCCGCTCCTCAAAGAAGAGCTTCTCCGGATCCAGGATGCGGCCGCCGCGCACCCAAAGGTCCTCCCTGCGGATGGAGTGAGCGGGCGCTGGCATCGCGGCCCGACCCCGGCCCCGCACCCCGCCCGGTCCCGCAGCCCTCCGGCCGGCGCCCACCTGAGCAGCTTCCCTCCGCGCAGGATGCGGCAGTTGGTGAACTGGAGCACCCGGGCTCCCACAGCGCCCTGCCCGCCGCGCATCGTGAGCCCGGTCCGGAGCGAGCGGCTCCGGAGCCCCGCGGCACCAAACCCCGCGCCGGGAGACCAACCCAGGCCTAGAGAGCGGCCGCGCCCACGTGACCCTCAGCTGACTGAAGCGCCGCGCCACGTGACCGCCGCGCCCACGTGACCCGCCGGCCCACGTGACCGGCAGCGCCCGCCCCCGCGCCCAACAAGCGGCACAGACACAGGCCCGACACATCCGAGAACTTTATTGGACACAGCTCCGCGCAGGGCCAAGGGCCCGGGGGCGAGGGCGGCTCCATCCAGAAGTCTCAGCAACAGGAACCCACAAGGCGACACTCTAGCTAAGGTTATAGATAGCTGGGAGACGAGGGCCGCTCCGCAGATGCAAGAACAGGCCAGATCTTTATAAATAAACATCCAGTTAAGAGAAATGACAACTCTACATCATCCGCATACACAGAGCACTCTAGGGGGTGGGGCGCCGGGGGCCTGGAGGGGCGATGAGTGGGCCCAGATGTCCACGGCACGGGGCGGGAGGGGGCAAGGCCGGGGCAACAGACGATGGGCACTAGGACACTGCGAATGTACAAGACCAACTACTGGGGGCGGCGGCCCCGTGCGTGTGTGTCAGGCTGTTCGTTCTGGAATGAGGAGGGGTGGTCTTTACATAATATTCTGTGGCTGGTGGGTTTGGAGAGGGGCTACTTTGTGGAGAGGATGAGGGCGACGATGAGACCGTAGAGGCCGAGCACCTCGGCGAAGATGAGGATCAGGATCATGCCCACGAATAGTCGGGGCTGCTGGGCGGTGCCCCGCACGCCGGCGTCCCCCACAATGCCGATGGCAAAGCCAGCTGCCAAGCCGCTCAGGCCCACGCTCAGGCCAGCGCCCAGCTGGAGGAAGCTCCTGGGGGCAGGAAGAGAGGGCTCACATCAGCAGCCTGCCGGCCCGGGGGAGACAACTGGAAACAAGGGTCCGGGTCACCACCCACAGGGGAACGGAACCCTCCCTGCAGCCCCCCCCAGACCTGTGCAGGGGCGTGACGCCAGGCGGGGCAAGCACCAGGTAGGGTGGACCCAGCGCTTACCTGTAGAGGCTGATGTCATCATTCAGGGAGTTGGCGATGAGGACTGCCACCACCAGGCCGTAGATGGCAATGATGCCAGCCATGACAACTGGGATGATGGACTTCATGATCAGCTCCGGCCGCATGACGGACATGGCCGCAATGCCGGTGCCGCTCTTGGCCGTGCCATAGGCAGCGCCCAGGGCTGTGGGAGAAAGGCAGGGTGAGCCCACAGGAACACACAGGCCATTTGGGGCTAGGACCTTGGGGTGCAGCTTTGGTACAGCTTCGAGGGCCACCCCAAGTTATCATAGGCAGAGGGGGAGCCAAAGGTAGCACCCAGCCCAGGGCAGGATGACCCAGGAGGAACAGCCACAGGCGAGCAAAAGGAGCCTGGGATGGCCGCTCCTTCCCTCCTCTACAGAAGACCCCCACCCTCAGAGTCCAGCTCTTCCTCCAGCAGCAGGCGTTGCAGCAGCCTTGCCCATCTGGGGCTCCCGGCTCTGCGGTGAACCCACTTGTGATCCCAGGGAGCCCCAGTGCAGCCTCAGCAGCCCCCATGTGGGGTCAGGGGCAGCCGACCCTCAGGGCTACTGCCCAGGACAACATGCTGGACAAGCCACCACAGGTCTTAGGGATGGCAAAGCCACGGCTGTAGGGTGTGACCTGATGGTCAGAAGCAGCCGACCCTGACCACTCCTGTCAGGCCACAGCGCCCCTGACTCACTGCCAGCCCAAGCTCCCCAATATTCCCCCAGGAGGGCCAAGCATTCTGCCATAAAGGGCGCCTCTCAGCACCGTTGGCCACACAGCAGGCCTGGACTCTCGAGAGACTGGAGAATCTTCTCTAACCAGAGAGGAGGGTTGGCACGGTGGCTCACACCTATAATCCCAGCTCTTGCAGAAGCCCAGGCAGGCATACCATGAAGTTGTCAAGAGTTCGAGACCAGCCTGGCCAACATGGTAAAACCCAGTCTCTACTAAAAATACAGTAATTAGCTGGATGTGGTGGTGGGGGCTCATAATCCCAGCTACTCGGGAGGCTGAGGCTGAGAGAATCGCTTGAACCTGGAAGGCGTAGGTTACAGCAAGCCAAGATCTTGCCACTGCAGTCCAGCCTGGGCAACAAGAGGGACACTCCATCTCAAAAAATAAATAAAAACCAACCAGAGAGGAGAAAAAACGAGCCACGAAGATAATGGGGGCACAGAGAAGATGACGGGGATCATCACCAGTCCAATCACGAGGCCTCAGCTGACCTCTCAGAGGTCTCCCCTGCACACAGGGTAGCCCCGGGCACACAGGGGCCTGGCCAGAGGGCCGAAGCCTCCCACCACAACAGGGCTGTCAGGGGTGGCTCCAGGGCCGCCTGTCTCCTCCAGAGCTGTCCCTCCTTCCTCTCCCAAGAGAATGTTGCCTTTCTTTTGAATTCCCCTCTCCTGGGCCCTATTTTCAACATGGAGAATTCTGTGGACACAGCAGAGTCACGGGAACTCAGCTGCCTTTCTGACTTCTGCCCTCCAGAGCCACCACAGGGGCCTGCTGGGCTGCCCGAGGGGACTGCAACTGGCAACTCCCTTCCCCATCTCTGCCCTCGGCACTCATGCCATTTTTTTTTTTTTTTTTTTTTTTTGAGATGGAGTTTTGCTTTTGTTGCCCAAGCTGGAGTGCAATGGCGCAATCTCAGCTCACCGCAACCTCTGCCTCCCGGGTTCAAGTGATTCTTCCTCCCTCAGCCTCCTGAGTAGCTGGGACCACAGGCACGTGCCACCATGCCTGGCTAATTTTGTATTTTTAGTAGAGATGGGGTTTGTCCAAGTTGGTCAGGCTGGTCTTGAACTCCTGACCTCAAATGATCCGCCCACCTCAGCTTCCCAAAATGCTGGGATTGCAGGTGTAGGCCCCTATGCCCTGCCCACCGTGGTCTTTTAAAGGAAAAGATCAATAACCAGCCTGACCTGCAGAAGACTCCACAGGTCAGAGGCAGAGGGACTAGGACCACCCCCGCCATTCCGCTTCACATTTTACTGATGTATTTGGGCCACACAAGTTGCCTACCCTGTGCCCCAGCACTGAGCGGGAGTGAGGACACAGGCACAGTGACCTCCAGGCACAGTGGCATGTACTCCAGGAAAGCAGAGGGGGGCGCTGGGGAAGGGATTCATAGTAGGTGTCCCAAGTTGGCGGGGAGGAGAGAGAGGAGTCACCCAAGCCGACAGCACTGGGTATCCAGGGAGTGGCTAGAGGGAGGGAGGATGCTGGGACCTGGGCCAGGGAGTCTCACTGCCTCCTCCATGCCACCCTGGAGGTGCCCAGACATGCCACGCCAACACCTGGTGCACCTGCAGACTGGGACCCAGGGCCTGTCCCAGAGCCTGTCCTGGAACTCCTGTTCCAGTGCATTTTCTCCTGGGGAGCACATAGATCAATTACAGTGCATTTTGGTGGCCCCCACTGCAGGCCCAGGACCACATCCGACTGCATCACATATGCGCAAGAGACCAGAGCATGGCGGACACGTGGGCAGGAGACTGAATACAGGGAACTCAGCCACCCAGGTAGTGGACACTGTGAGACCAGAGCCCACCAGAGGCAGGACGCAAGCGGGCCCTTCCGTACCGAGGGCAGCAGGAAGATCATGTGGCTGGCAGGGGGAGGAGGTACCAAGAGGAACACAGGGAAGAAAGGGGATGGCAGCCAGGAGCCAAGTACTGTGAGGGCTCCGGACTCCAGCTCCAGAGGCCAAGCCTGACCGGACTGCAGAGGGCAGACCCGTGGGCAGTGCTAGGCTCAGCGGACACAGAAAGAGTAGGGGCCTGAAAGCAGTTCCAGGAACATAAGCACAAAATACAGGGCGCCTGCCAGCAGGGAGGAAGTCACAGTAAATATGGAAAAGGAGAAAATGACAGCTTCTTGGAGGACATGATGAAGAAATAATCAACTGGACATTTGTCACGAGAAAAAAAGGGGAAGCTGGGATGGGGGCCTGCAAGAGGCCTGTGGACCTCATTCAGTTGAAGACCAATCTGTCAGTGCCAGGCAGGCCAACGACCAGGAGCTAGGGACAGAGCTGGAGGTTGGCCTGGCAGCAACAGCACAGGCAACTAACTGGAGGGCAGGGGGCTTGTTTAGGGTGGCACAGCAGGCGAACCCACGTCCTAGAGAAAGGCATCTTTCAGAAGGCAGAAATAAAGTCAGAAGTTGGGCCAGGCATGGTGGCTCACGCCTGTAATCCCAATACTTTGGGAGGCCGGGGAGGGTGAATCATTTGAGGCTACCAAGAAGTTGAGACCAGCCTGAGCCATGTGGTGAGACCCTGTCTCTACAAAAAATCAGCTGGACATGGTGGCGTGTGTGCCTGTAGTCCCAGCTAGTTCAGGAGGCAGAGGCAGGAGGATTGCTTGAGCCTGGGAGGTCGAGGCTGCAGTGAACTGTGATCACACCACTGCATTCCAGCCTGGGAAACAGAGCAAGACCCTGTCTCAAGAAAAAAAAAGAAAAAAGAAATTGATTTAATTGGCCAAGGGAGAGTTTAGCTCCTGGAGAGCCACACAGTAAGCCACGATTATCCCGAAGAGTCAGGGATAAGTAGGAAAGGCCTATGCCAGCAATAACATGTTCTCAGTAATTTCAGCACACCTGCTGGTCAGGTTGTTCGAGGGCCTGTGTAGGTCTTGATGGAGAGGGAGGCAGGGAGCTCGGTGCAGAAAAAGGGCTCGGTGGACAAACTCAGGGCTTCAAGAGCAAGTAGCAACACCTGGAATTTCAGTTCCACATGGGCAGGGATCTTATTTTGTTCACTGTTGTCTCCCCAGTACCTGGCACATAGTAGGCACTCGATCAAGATTGTCTGGATGAGGATGAAAGACAGCCACAAGCAGTACCCCACAGGTGGCCAGGCAAAGGGGGATCTCTGGAGGCATTCTCTGGGCAAAGAACAGATGAAGCTGAAGGGGAAGGGCTCGACAACCTGTCTGGGGAAGTCTCCAGTGTGTGGAAAGAGAAGGAGGTGCTGAGGTGGAAGACGTCTAAACCACTTATTCTACCACAAATGACCCCTTACTTGCACATCATGGAAAGGGCAGGGCTCATTCACGACTGGCAGGCAGGTCCAGACAGAGGGAGGCCCCCAAGAGAGGACAGTCCCAAGCCCCCACCCCACAGGTGTTTACAGTCAGCAGAGACTGTTTGGAGTTCAAACCCTCCACATACCTGCACTAGGAGCTTCCCCAGGCCACTAGGCAGGGTGGGGCAGAGCAGGGCAGGGTCATCAAAGCTAAAACCAGACTTAACCAAGGAGGCGGAGACCAGACCAGGCCAGACCAGTCCATGGAGGCTGAGACTGGGCCAGAACTTACCTCGTGGGTCCCACATTCCTGGGCCTAGCCCAAGTGCCATTCTCCCAGGAAGGCCAATTTTCACTAAATTTGACACTCAGGACCTGTCAAAGCCTAATTTCAAAAGCGGCGTGCCACCAAGAACCCTTGATGTCACACTTCTTCAAACCCAGGGTAGCCCCTCCCAACTTCAGGCCTCGGAAGGAAAGGAAGGTCATTCATTCATCACTCCATTCATGAAGAGCGGAACTGGAAGCCTCAGTCCTGAGGGCAATGACCGGATCCTGTCACCATCTCACCCACCTCAGAGCACAGACCCTCTGCACAGCCCCCCAGAGCCGACGATGCAGCCTCCCAGCTCCCCTCCACTTCCACACACTCCCACCCCGGGTCTCCGCGGGCTCTCGGAACCAAGCCCTCAGCCTAGCTTTCCCAACCAGCCCACGCAGCGACACGGGTATTGGGCAATCGTGACCAGCTCCAACCGGAAGCACCTGCCGGTGGGTGAGACCCACCTGATTCCCGGGGCCGGCCGCCACAAGGGCGAGGACTGTGGATCTCCCGTGGGAGACATGAACTCCCACCGGCCGAGCAGTGCCAGAGACCCTCCTCCGGGGCGCTCCTGGGCCCGACCCGCGCCAACACCCGCGCACCGGAGCCTTCGAGGTGTGATGTCACCTGCCCGCAGAATCGGCCCGCGCGCCGCCCCTCTCGCGCCCCCACCCCAGCCTCTCTCTCACCGCTCCCTGGGCTAAGATGGCAGCGGTGCCGCCGCCCCACCCCCGCACCCGCACGACCCAGCTGGCAGGGCCGCCGGCCCGGACCCCCGAACCCCGCAGCCTGGCCAAGCCCGCACGCCCTGCGTCCCGGGGCCCCCGCAGCCGTCGGGGCGCCGACCCCCACCCTCAGTCACGCGAGTCCCGAGCGCCCCCGACCGCTCGGGATTGCGTCAGAGTGACGTCACACACCGGACCCCGGCGAGCTGCGAGCATGAGCCCCGCGCGCCCCCGCCCCCGGGTCCCTCCCGCCGCGGCGCTCACCGCTGAAGACCATGGCGGCCGAGGCGCCCATGACGGCGAAAAACGAAGCATACTCGGGGCTGTTCTTGGACTCTGACATGTCTGCGGGTGGGGAGGGGGCGAGCTCTGCGGGCAGTGGCGGAAGCGAGGGCAAGGACGCGCAGGGAGCGAACGCGAGCAGACGGGCGGCGGGGAAGGCGATCCGGCCCGTCAGCCGCTGCGCTCTAAATACCAGCACCGCAGAACAAAATGGCGGCCGCGGCCGCGTCACATGACCTGGGCCCCGCCCCTGCGGGCCGTACCACTTCGCACCGTGGAGGAGACGCGGTCCCGGGACGCCCGAGCGGCTCGTCGACCGCGCCTGGGCTGTGCCGCCCTCCCAGCGACCCGGACCTGGCACCCGGTCCCGCCCCGCCTCGGCCTCCGCGGGCGCTGCCCGGCGCCGCCGGCCTCTGGATCCCCGCCGCGTTGGACCGGTCCCGCGCCGGGGCGGGGCGGTGTGTGCCTTATTAGCATATGGGGCGGGAACTCGGAGCGCCCCGCCTTCTCTGCGGCGGCGCGGCGTCTGCAGGTGTTCGGTTCCCAGCGACGCTTTTCTTTGCACCCTTGGCGTGAAGCCGCAGGCCGTGGTTTCGCGGCCTTGCCCCCAAGGCGGCGCCTGACTCCTCCAGACGCCGGTCTTCCAGGATCTCCTTACTAATCGTGGGCGAGCTAAGGGTCCGAGCAGATGTGCGGGGCGCCGGCCTTCTCTGCGTCAGCGTCCAGGAAAGCCCCCAGCCCACAACTGTGAAGTCCCAGCCCGTTGCTACAGCCCTTCTGTGTCCCCGAGTCACTTCCCTCCCCACTGTCCCCAGTCTCCTCCAGACCCACTGCCTCTGACCTGGCGGTTGGTGACTTCACCTGTCGCTTGGGAAGAAAAGGACCCTCTCCCCGCACTTGTCTCTGCCTTTGCATCAGGCCCCCAAACGTTAGTGGGTTGTGTCTCTGCCTCCAAGCTGGAGGCGTGACTGGTGGAAGCCCTGTCGGAACTGCGACCTCTCGAGATACCCCCCGGGCTCTGCACGTTCTTGCATCAGGGTCCTCACTCCTGTCCTTACAGCCACCCACGCCCGCTAAATCCGCGCCTTCAGGGCCATCTTCCGGAGCAGCCTTGGAGCGGTTCCCGCAGCCGTGCAAGCAGCCCGGCCAGGGCTGGCGCTGCCCTACTGATCCCCGTATGGCAGTACCTGGCACCCCCTCTGCCTGATCTCCATCCACCTGCTCTGGCTGCCCACGGCCCTTTCAGGGACCCTGGGCAGCTGCCACCAGGTCCGGGTGTCCTTTGAGCTCTAAGGCCTCGTTCTGGGTTAGAGCTATTCCTGAGTGGCCTGGGTGCCGGCTCATCCCCATCTCCATGGTGGTTATGGCCGCCAGGGGTCATGGCCCCTGGCCTGGTCCTCTGGGTGGACTCAGCCCCACTTTCCCCAGCAGGAGACTCCCTCGGGCCCCTTCCCCTTCACTAGCCTGGGCCTGCCACTCGTGGAACTTGCAGCCCATGAAAGTGCCCAAGTCTGTCCTGGTTCAAAGGAGAGGAGGCAACAGATGCCATCAGAGGCCCTTCCTGCACCACCCTCTCTTACGCGACCCTTATTTCTGAGAAGAGGAATCTTCACTCTGTCTCCACCTCCTCAACCTGCCCTTCCCTCCCCAGCTCCTTGCCTTTGCCAAGGTCACCAGTGACTACTGTTTCTCTAAGCAGAAGGACAACTTTCAGGCTGTCTGAGTGGGCCTCTGTGCCGCATGGGCTGCCACCCTCTCCACACACTCTCCTCTCTCCTGCAGACTTCCTAAAGCTCGGACGCCCTCATTCTTCCTGGAGTCACAAGGGCGGGCCCAGGCCCCATAGCCCCAGCTTCACTGCAGGTCCTGGTGTACCCAGGGCTGCCCCTGGCTCTGCCCGTCCCCTGCATGATCCCATCATTGCCCTGGCTTTGTCCCCCATCGTATGCCACCCTGTCCCTCACGTGCACCATTCCAGCCACTATCACCCTCTGAGTGAGAGCAACACCCAGTGCCTGCCCCCATCACTCCCCGCCCTCCAGGGAAGCCCAGGCCAAGGAGGCTGCTGGCCGGGGCCGAATTCAGACCAAGGAAAGGTGGCACAGAGCAGTCCATCATGGAGAAACAGCACAGTCCAAGCTCAGGGGTAGGCCGGGCGCAGTGGCTCACGCCTATAATCCTAGCACTTTGGGAGGCCAAGGTGGGAGGATGGCTTGATCCCAGGGGTTCAAGACCAGCCTAGGTGACAAAGTGAGACCCCATCTCAAACAAAAAGGCGTAGGGTGGGCAAACTGCACCTAAGTCCATTGTGGCTGAAACACCAGGACTGGGGACATGGGAGCATGGAGAGACTTCCCTCTGCAGGAGCAGGGAGTGGGTCAGCCGTGCTCACCACCCTCTTAGCGCCCATTCGTTTTCTGCCTAAGTTCTGGTGTGAGAGGACACACCAGGTCTCCAGTTCAGTTCCTGACACCTGAAGTAGTGTGTCTGAGCTGTTTGCCCCCGCCCCGTCACCACCAGCTTCCACTGGGCTATTTCCACTCCCGCAGAAGGCACACCCATCCCCCCCAGCCTGACGTCATGCCACTGCTCCCTCCCCACTCTCAATTACTCAGGATCCCGAGATCCAGCCTCCCCAGGCTTTGTCCCGCGCCCCCGCCCCTGCCGCTGCCTGGTGTAGCTCTTCCCATCGCCTACCCCCAGTCAACCCTGTCTTCGCCCTAAAGGCCCAGGATCTTCCTAGTGGGCGCTTTCCATCCTGGAATCCTTTAGCCCCTCAGGGTCCTGCCCTGGTCTCCTCCCGCTTCTCATCAGCAGCCCCCATGTCGGCACCACCTCTGTACCAGCTCTCCTCCTCACTCAGGGCCAGGCACCGTGGCTCACACCTGTCATTCCATCACTTTGGGAGGCAGAGGTGGGAGGATCACGAGGTCAAGAGATCGAGACCATCCTGGCCAACATGGTGAAATCCTGTCTGTACTGAAAATACAAAAAACTAGCTGGCGTGGTGATGCGTGCCTGTAGTCCCAGCTACTGGGGAGGCTAAGGCAGGAGAATCACTTGAGGCAGGGGCTGCGGTGAGTCGAGATTGTGCCACTGCACTCCAGCCTGGCAACAGAGCTAGACTCCATCTCAAAAAACAAAAACAACAACAAAAAGAAATTCACCTTAGTATTCAGAACACTACCTCCTCCAGGAAGCCCCCCTTTCCTTCCCCTCCTTCCTCCTCCTCAGGGACCTCCTTCAGGGCTCTCTGGATGCTCCCCTCACACTCAGTGACTTTTTTTTCCAGTCATTGCCTCCCCCAACTGAGAGTCACTGAGACTCTTTTTCTGTGTCCTCGACCTGGTAGGGTGCCGTGCACACGCAGGTCGTGTTTCCTGAGCAATGGGGTGGGCCAGGCACTGTCTTGCATTCTTCTGGGTACCATCACCCCTCACTCTCACCGTGACCCTCATTTCCTGGTCAGGGAAACAGGCCTCAGAAGGTGAAGGGCCTTGCCAAGCATCCAGCTAGCAGCTGCTGAGGGAACTGAAGTTGGAGGTCCAGGGCCGGCCTCTGTGCTGGGTCTCTGCAGGTGGCTGATGACCAGTGACAGTGCCAGGAAGGACCCAGGTCTCCTTCTCCTTAGTCTCCCAGCACCGGGCAGGACCCCAGGGTGGAGTGGACTCTGGGGTGGGGACAGAGCAAGGCCATGGAAGGGGACAGCCGGGACACACATCTCTCTCCTCCCTCACAGCTACTTCCCCCTGGCATGAAACCACAGGTCACGAGCCCCTGGCCTGTCACTGCTTCAGCAGTGGGGATTTCCAGGAACTGGGGGAGGGGCTTTGGGAAACTCAGGTCAGAGACCACAACAGGAGCAGTAGAGAGACGTAGGGTGGGCTCCTGCGGGAGGGTCGGGGGCATTTTGCAGAGACCCTGGCAAGGGTGGGGGAGGATGGAGACAAAGAGACCAGGAGTAAAATCCCACAAGTGATTGGGAAGATGAACTTCTCCAGAGGAAGCCATCCCAAAGAAGACCTGGGAAGGCAGCCTCATCTGCAGACCACAGTGCCCCTGCAGGTGCCTGCTCCTGGAGGCAGCCCCTCCTTCTGAGTTGCCATGAGAACACACCCAGAGGGGCACAGGGCTGCACGATGGCACCCGGCACCCTCAATCTGCTTCCAGGACAGCCGCGTGTGGCCCTGGCAGGGCCGGAGGAAATGGGCCGAGAACACAGGTGCACCATCCGCCGGGTGTATGACCAAAGGCACTGTGTTTTCTTATCATTAAAGTTAAGGCTTAAACAATGATACGGCAAATTATTTTAAATAAAATACATGCCAGAGTTAAAGACAACGTGGTGCAAGTAGGACCCGGCACGCCACAAGCCGCCGAACGCAGGGAGGCTCCCCAAAGTCGAGCATGGCAGGGAGGTGGGACCTCCAGCTGCTCCTGCTGGACAGCAGGCGCTGCGGGGGCAATAGGTCGGAGGAAGACGACCACAATGACCTCAAGGACAGGGCAGCTCCCCCTTCTCGCTCTCCCCAAGCTTTGAGGGTTGATAGAAAATGGCCTGAGTGGGTTCTTCTCTTTGAGGAGCCAGAGGGGTGGGCAGGGAGTCGGGGTGGGCAGGGAGTCCGGCTGGTCCTGACCACTTGGCAGCAGTGTATGGCATTTCCTCTGCAGGTGGGAGGGCAGGCGGGTAGGCAGGTGGGAGGACCCTGCTTTCCCACAGGTGCTATAGTGCCTAATTAGTGGCCATTTGGGTTTTTTTGACACAAACTTCCAAATGACCAGGGCCAGGGGCTGCGCCTGCACCAGGACCAGGTTGTCAGAATGGGTGTTGGATAAATGCTCCGCCCTGGGTGGCCTGGTCCCCATGTGGTGTGGGGTGCACCCTGAAGGCCAGCACGGCCTCCTCACACTCCAGCAGGGAGTCAGGGCTCGTCGCCACAGGCCCTGCCCGCCTCAGATCCTGACCCATTTGTTAAGTTCCCTGAGCACCTACTATTGTGGCAGGCACTGAGTGAGGCCCCTGAGAGTCAAAGACAAGTTAGGGTCCCCACCCTCAAGACCTGGCAACCTAACAGGGAGCGGTAGTGTCCCCAGCAGCACAGCCAACGCTACACCAGAAACGTGGTTCTTCAAAGCAGGGGGCACAAGGGAAGGAGGCGCTGGGACTAGCTCAGCGGATTCCAGAAGAGGTGATCTCTGAATTAGGACTTAAAAGGTGAAGAGGGTTGGCCGGGCGCGGTGGCTCAAGCCTGTAATCCCAGCACTTTGGGAGGCCGAGGCGGGTGGATCACGAGGTCAAGAGATCGAGACCATCCTGGTCAACATGGTGAAACCCCGTCTCTACTAAAAATACAAAACATTAGCTGGGCATGGTGGCGCGTGCCTATAATCCCAGCTACTCAGGAGGCTGAGGCAGGAGAATTGCCTGAACCCAGGAGGCGGAGGTTGCGGTGAGCCGAGATCGAGCCATTGCACTCCAGCCTGGGTAACAAGAGCGAAACTCCGTCCCCCGCCCAAAAAAAAAAAAAAAAAGGTGAAGAGGGCTTACAGCAGGGAGAAACACCACCCAGTTTGTATTTAAATAAGTCACAGACTGGTCGGGTGTGGCGGCTCATGCCTGTAATCCCAGCACTTTGAGAGGCCAAAGTGGGCATATCACCTGAGGTCCGGAGTTCGAGACCAGCCTGGCCAACATGGTGAAACACTGTCTTTTTTTGTTTTGTTTTGAGACAGAGTCTTGCTAGGTTACCAGGCTGGAGTGCAGTGGCACGATCTCAGCTCACTGCAGCCTCCACCTCCTGGGTTCAAGTGATTTTCCTGCCTCAGTCTCCCAAGTAGCTGGGACTACAGTTGTGCGCTACCATGCCCGGCTAATTTTTGTATTTTTAGTAGACACAAGGTTTCACCATGTTGGCTAGGATAGTCTCGATCTCTTGACATCGTGATCCACCCACCTCGGCATCCTACAGTGCTGGAATTACAGGTATGTGCCACTGTGCCCGGATGAAACCCCATCTTTCTGTGTTTTGTAAAAATAAAAAAATTAACCAGGCATGGTGGTGCATGCCTGTAACCCCAGCTACTTGGGAGGCTGAGGCAGGAGAATGGCTTGAACCTGGGAGATGGAGGTTGCAGTGAGCCGAGATCACGCCAGTGCACTCCAGCCTGGGTGACAGAGCAATACTCTGACTCAAAAAAAAAAAAAAAAACCCAAGCCATAAGAAGGAAAGGAATGGGAGCAACTGCTTACTGGGGACAGGTTTTCCTTTAGGAGTGCTGAAAATGGCGCGGAACTAGAGGTGGTGGTTGTGTCACACTGTGAGTGGGCCAGATGCTCATTCATGCAGCCACTACCTCTGTCTGAGCAATGGTTGTATAATATGTCCATTTCACTTCAGTTTTTTAAAAAGGACAATGAAACAGTTTCATGGCAGGCTAGAGGGGAGAATGTGTTCTGGACACCCACCACAGGGAAGGCTGGTGGTAGAGAGGGCAGGAAGGGAGGGGGCAGTCCTGCCTGGCCAAGCTCTGAACAGACACCAACCCCACACTGAGCTGGCCTGCAGGAGGCTGCAGCCCCGGGTCCTGCCTCCCACGCCAGAGCACTCTGCAGGGCCCGCTCAGGAACAGTCTTGCTCAATTCTGGCCTGAGTGCATGTCCTAACGTCAACCACAAGACAGTCCGAGCACTTCCAGTAAGTGTAAGAGTTGCTGCAGGGAACGGGGCCGGGGGGGGGGGGGGGGGGCGGTCCCGCTACCCCAGGCCCCAGGCGATCACCCTGGACACACAGTAGCACGCAGGCCAGCCCACAGTGGGTTTCTGTTCATTCTGCAGTGCTGGTGCTCCTGCCCCTTGAGGCTGACAGTCTTCAGGAGCGGGGGCAGGGAGATCGGCCAACACTTGTCTCAGGTGCTGTGAAGCTAGAACGGGGGACCCAGCCTCGGCAGGGAGCTCAGGGAAATCCTGGGAGGGACTCTGGGGCCCAGGCATGAGGAGTAGCAAACAGCGTGTGCAAGGCCAGGAAGCAGAGGCTCTCAGTTCAGAGGAACTGAAAGAAACCTGGTGGAAGCTTGCCCCCAACACAGAGAGCAGGGGCTGTGTTGGGGGCCAAGCTTCCTGCCAAGCTAGCAGACCAGGAGGCCTCTCAGACCCGGGACAGGCCTCCAAGTGGCTGCCCCAAAAGTCCCCTAAAGGCACTGCAGGAAGGTGTTCAGAAGAGCAAAGAAAGAGGGCTCAGCAGAAAGGGGCTATCCCCGTGGCCAGTGGGGAAGAGGGACCCAAGAAGACAGAGCAGGCAGAGACAGCTCACGCAAGGCTCTGCAGCAGCTGCAGGGAGGGCCCCCGGAGGCCTTGGTTTCACTGGAGGAACTGGACGGGGTGGGGGCATCTGTGTGGGGCTCAAAGAAAACAGGCATTCTATTTTTCTTTTCTTTATCTTATACAGATCCACAATTAAACACAAGATACTAGAGAAGACATTTGGCCAGGCGCGGTGGCTCATGCCTGTAATCCCAGCTCTCTGGGAGGCCAAGGCGGGCAGATCACTTGAGGCCAGGAGTTAGAGACCAGCCTGGCCAACATGGTGAAACCCCATCTCTACTAAAAATACAAAAACTAGCCAGGCCTGGTGGGAGGTGCCTGTAATCCCAGCCACTCAGGAGGCTGAGACAGGAGGATCACTGAAACCCGGGAGATGGAGGTTGCAGTCAGCCAGGACTGCGCCACTGCACTCCAGCCTGGGCAAAAGAGCAACTCCATCTCAAAAAAAAGAAAAAAAAAAAAAAAGAGAAGACATTCACTAATATTGATGCAAACTTCCAAATGAAATGCTCATTTTGAATGAGGAAGGTTGAGTTTGCTTTTTGATACTTGGTTTTACACATGACCGGGGCTCTTTATTATTTTTTGTGGAGATGGGGGTCTCCCTATTTTGCCCAGGCTAGTCTCAGACTCCTGGCCTCAAACAATCCACCCACCTGAGCCTCCTAAAGTGTTGGGATTACAGGCATGGGCCACCGCACCCCGCCTTGCCAGGGATTCCTGATGAGATGTTTGACGCTGATTCTTCATAGTAGCACCTCTAATGTCCCTAAAACTTGGCTGAGTACTGTAGTCCACAGGACAGGCACTAGGAACGAAAGGAAACAAGATAGATCAGGGAATGACGCCGTTCGCACCAGCCACAGCTGCAAATGTGGCAGACACGTACCTGTCACCTCCGTGGAGAGACTCGCTGGTGACCACCACGATCGGATGCGGACTTGTCCACCTAACGCCTCCCTCTCTCCTCCGACATACTGGAGAAGAGGCGCCCAGGACTTCCCAACCGTCTAAGCCTTCTCACAGCAAGTGATTTCACAGTGACCTTCTTCTACCAGTTCTCAATTTTATTTAGGACTCAAACGAACACCAACCAAACATATCACTAAATCACTTATTTTCACATTTTCAAAGTTGGATTGCACTGCAAGTCCATGCATTTGTGCTCACTACACATTTTTTATTACGGTCATTGAGAGGCTCCAAAGCATCAGTCCAATAAACATTTTTCCAGCCCGATAAGCATCCTTCATGAGAACTAAGAGGTAAAATTATTCACACAACTATTTTTTTACTTCAATGCTTAGCTCATAGCTTTTGACCAAACGTCAGTGTTTTGTCAGCGTGTTGTCTGTGCCTTGTCACAGGTCATGTGTCTACAGGACTCAGTATCCACTGACTTTGCTTCCTTGGTCCCAAGCAAAGGTGCTGCCAGTTCCACCGTTTGATGAAATGATTGAGTCTCAACTGTGGGAGGCATTTTGTTTTTAGCAATGAATCACATGACATTGTACCTAACTTCTCAAGCATAATCTAATATTAGGACGGTGAAGGTAACTTTTAAAAACTCTTGGCCGGGCGCGGTGGCTCACGCCTGTAATCCCAGCACTTTGGGAGGCCGAGGCGGGTGGATCACGAGGTCAAGAGATCGAGACCATCCTGGTCAACACGGTGAAACCCC